AAGTTGTTCCCTCTGTGTCCACTGACATGCCCCTCACCCAAGCTACCACCACCTCTCCCATCAGCAGCTGAAATAACCTCCAGGCTGCTTTCTAGCTTCCAGTCTCTCCCCTCTACAGTGTATACTTTACACAACAGAGTGATTAAAAAAATAAACGTAGGCAAGATGATATAAATTCCTGGTTCAAACTCTATAATGGCTTCCCATTAAGAGTCAAGAAAAATACAACTCCTAACCATAGCCAACAACACTCTGCATGGTTTCTGTCCCTTAACTCTGGCCACTTCCCCACACTCACTCTGCTGCAGCCCCTTTGGCTTTCTTCTAACACACAAAGGCCAGTTCTGCCCCATGACCTTGCACCTGCTATTTCTCTGCCCGGAACACCCTTTCCTTTGATCACCCAGGCCATATGGACATGTCATCTCAGAGAAGATTTCCCTGCTCCTTCCCCCTTTAAAACTGCCTCTCCCCCCTTGTCTCACCTTAATCCCAAACTTCACATGCCACTTTCCTTTTCTTTGTGGTGTTATTACTGCCTGGAAATATATATTGAAGTATCCATTGCCTGCCTCCTCCACCAGAATGGAAGCTCAGTGAGGACAGTAACTTTGCCTATTTTGTTCAGACAGATTTCCTGTGTCTCCATCCTGGAACAGTGCCTGACATATATGTCAATTAGTCAATTGATGTTTGTTGAATCAATGACAAATTAGCAGGTGTCCTGGATAAATAGGATAATTTAATCCATTATGAGACTTGTTTTGTTGCTTTTTGATGAATCACATTTTTGTTTGTTTGTTTGTTTTTATATCAGTCGTCCACTAACCAAAAAAGGGATATATCTATACTATACTCTCACAGAGAAACCCTTTTTAAAAGTCTGGGTAGATGTGATTAAAAAAAAAAAGCATTGCTGAAAAATTGGATTTATATAGTCACTTACTCACCCGAAAGGGATTTTTTGTGTATGTGTCCAAATCCTTAAGAGATTATGGCATTGGGCTTTAAACTTCAATGTGTGTAACAATCACCTAAGGGAGCTAGCTGGTGAATCTGGTATTCAGTTCTACATCTTGGTTTGTTAATAAGCCCCAGGTGACCTTGATGCAGCTGCTCCTTGAACTGCTGTGAAAAATACTGGGTTGTGAGTTTTGTCATTTATCTTATAACTCTGAGAAAAATAGTTATATACCTGTCTGATTTCTCTTTCACAGAGAACAGGATTTTGTCACTTAGGTGCCCAATGCTGGACTCCTGAAGACCACAGCTCAGTCATGTGAGATACCTGTCAACCATGAGGAAGCCCAAAGGATGGATCAGTTCAAGGTGAGACCTCCTTGACATTCTGTTGTAAGCACCAAATAGAAAGCAAAGGCAAGAAAGCAGATGCATAGCCAAATAAACTAGAAGACCAGGAAGACAATGAGAGGCCAACAAGAGAATCTCAGGATGGAAGAAGAGATTTTCATAAATGAAACTGGAGGTCTTCAGAAACTGCCTGAGTCAGCCTCACTTAAAAGTACAAGAGCAGGTAAAACTTGCCCAGGTAGTAACAATGGAAACATATAGGGTTTTGCAACTTCCAGTTAGTGCATGAGAAATGTGCTATAACAGTACATAGTAGAGACCTTGGTTATGGTTAGGGTTTTGATCAGCAAGCCATTCCCTCACCCTTTAATTCCCAGGTCACACAGAGTGAGAGTCGACTAAGCCAATAAAACAAGGTCATGGACATTTGCAGTATGTACACAGATTGTGATGTGGTAGGCAAACTGGGAGTTAGGCAGGGGATAGAGGAGAAATATTTTTTGGGTTTGACATATATTCTGCAATTTCAATTCTTAAAAGTATGCCATTTTAATGTTATTAATAGCACCATTTTTCAATTCCTTAAATTTGGAACAATTTAATTGCTTCTTAGTTTTGCTTTTGTATTATGGCAAAATGTTTCCATGAGTACCTGTTTTAGGTCATTTGAATGGTAAGAGTCATTTTAATCAAAGAGTTACCACACTTACATTCGTTGAAAGTTTACTGATGAAAAAACTGAAACTTAGGGACCTTGAATGATTTTTTCCCAATGTCATATAACCATTAGATAGCAGAATTGGGATTCCATGCTAGGTCTGTCTGATCAAAGCCTGTGTCTTGGACGGGCTGCCTGGACTCAGTGCTAGCAGTCCAGCCTGGCTTTCCTCTCTACTGTCTTCCCAGTGTGCCCTACACCACAAGCTAGGGGTACTAGCAGCCACGCTCTCCCCCGCCCCCCAGGAGGAGTCCCATCTAGGAGTGAGGAGGACTTCTACATAGTCAGAAGTGCTGAGACTGTGCCCCTTGGTCCTGGAGGCAAATATTCTGGTCTGAATGGTGATATGGTCCAGGCTGAGGACCTCCCATCTACCCCAACCATGTTAGACCATTCTGCCTGCCGGGGTATCTGACTGCTTCTTCCTTCTCTATCCCACTCCCACTCTCAGAAAACTGATCCTAATCCAGAGCTGCTGAGTGTCAGGTGCCTGACACTTTTGCCTAATTCTTGATAGTAGCTTTCTTGGCATGGTCACTGGTTCCAGTATCATACCAATGATTGTGTGCTGACTTTCCTTACCTGTGTCTTGGATGTCTACTGGTTGACAATAATTAGCCCTTCTAGAAACTGGACACCACCCTATCCCACTCTATCAGGGTCCCACTATGCCTAGGGTTCCCTATATTCTCGACTGCCCAGGCCTTTGAGACTAATCTGTAGGCAAGAGGAGTTAGAGAAGGACGGCTTCTTAATTATGATGTACAGTTAACTTGTCCCAGCAAATAGGCCAGTCTCAAGGAGAGGGACCCTGCACATGAAAGGAGTGAACAATCAAGTTAAAGGTGAGTTCAGATTTCTGGGTAAGATATACTTCAAACAGTGCTTATGCTATTTGGAGATCATGCTCAGGAAGCTGAGTTAGGAGAAACCTGCTTCCTTCCACTGCCTGGCTAAAGAGATAGGACGCAGAAGGAAATCCTGATATAGAACTACTTCTGCCCCGGAGAGCCAGAGAATCCCAAGTGGGAAATGGAACAGACCTTTCCATTTTACATCCTCTCTTCCCCTTCATCCTTTGGCTGAGGTTTTTTGTTGTTGCTGTTTTTGTTTGTTTGTTTGTTATTTGTAGTGATTTGTTTAATTGCCCGTCTTCTGGGTAATAGTGTGATCCCTGGGAGGGCCACCAGTTTACTTTTGCTCACCATTGTATCTGTCTGGGATACAAAGAACGTGCTCAATCATTGTCAGTTACTGGAAACAATGAGTAAGTGAATGGTGGAAAGAACAAAAGACCCTCACATTAGAAAATAAACTATATTGAAGAAAATATAGGTCCCAACTGGCTTCCCAGATACTGGATGAGAAATCCTTAAGTCTTGTTAAAACCATGCATACAATCATTATAAGAGTCAAGATTATAATGATGAGCAATAGAACTGTTTTCTGCATATGCATGTTGCACTTTTTAAATGACAACTGTAAAATGTCTTGCTAAAATCCTTACAACGCTGAAACATTTATATTTGAGACCTACGCCAACAGAATGGATATATTTAATACATTGCTAGCGAAAAGCCATCTAAAAATTCCTTTTTTGTTTTACCCCTCACCCTTCTCTCTCTACCCCATGTAGAAGGGAAGACCTAGGCACCCTGGTGCAAAATTCTACTATAATATCACTCCCGGGATTATCTGGCTTTGGTACATTTGTACATAACAGTTCTAATGTCACAGCAAGAATTTTTTCCCCTCCTGTTTATTTCTCTGAAGCGATAATAAGCAATCCTGTGTGACATCGCCTGTGGAGCGGTTGCCAGGCAGCAGAAAGAGATCTGCAGCAGGAGGCGGGAGAGCTGGGGGGGAGAGGAGAGAAAAGCAGGAGAGGAGGTGGGAGGGAGGAGGGCTGAGCAAGTGGGGGTTGGGTTCTGAAACTGCTGAGCCAGAATTCTACCTCCTTGTCATCCTTCATGTTCCAGGCACATAATGATCCAATAAGCTGCACCTTGGAGGGGAAATAAAGATGGAAAAGAAACAGTTGAATGTTGTCATTAAATAGGGTGTCAGAAATGTTTCTTATTTTGTGAAGAAAAGGCTTCAGATCTTTTTTTTTTTTTTTCTGCTGAACTTTGCTTCTTGGGAAATGCAACTCTACAAATATCATAAAAGGGCCAGCTTCTCATTGGGCCTGCTTTGCTCTAAAGCAACAAATAATTAGCGCATAATATCTTCCAGCACTCTGCATGGGGAACATGCACATTCTAACTTGAAAGGCTTCAACTTCTCTCATTGTGTGGGAAAGGCAAACACAGAGGAAGGATACTTAACCCTTGAGGGAATATGCAGTATTGAGAGGCATCTGTGTACCTGAGAGACACAGGAGGTCATTCAAGGTGTTTCTGGAAGCTGGCCTCCTCAGTGTGAGGCTTTCTGCAGTTTTGGAAATTAAGACCAGCAGCTGAATCCCATCTCCTGGCTTTGTACAAATATTTCTCTAATGAGATCAAATGATTGGACTGGGATCCTAGCATAAGAGGTGGGGGCAGATGGCATACAGGTCCCTCCATGCTGGTCTGGATGTCCCCCAGCACTGTGTATCTCGCCTTTTGCCAGCCTTCCAAGCTGTCTGCGACTACTTGGATACTGTCCAGTGGTAACAGACAATGATTTTTATTTAGATTTTTGATTATCCTTGGTAATCAAATAGAACCAGAACAGAAGGTTCGTTCAAAACAAACAATGTATTTACAGATAGCTTTGTTGGGCGGATGCACATTTTAAGGTTCTAAAGTTGCTAGTAATTTTTCTCAGAAGATGCAAACTCACCATCTGAGAAAGGAAAATTGGAGAAGACATGTTAAAATGGCCAGATGATCAGAAAGAACTTGGAATTAATGTAATACTGACCATGCTTCTTCTTCTTTTTTAAAAAAAATATATTTTATTGATTTTTTACAGAGAGCAATGGAGAGAGATAGAGAATTAGAAACATCGATCAGTTGCCTCCTGCACACTCCCTACTGGGAATGTGCCCCGCAACCAAGGCACATGCCCTTGACTGGAATCGAACCTGGGACCCTCGAGTCCGCAGGCCGACGCTCTATCCACTGAGCCAAACCGGTTAGGGCTGACCATGTTTCTTTTCCTCTTTAGCAATGAAGGCTGGAGGTGGAAGAAAGAATATAGAGTGAAGAACACCAACTGAAAATTGTGAGGTGTAACAGATGTGGTCCCTCCCCCATTTCCCATCATATACTTCTATTCAGTGGCTTATTTGTTTTTTTTAGTCCCAACTAAGGTCATGAATGAATCAATCAAGGATAATCAATGATTTTCTGCACACTCTAGGAGGAAGATAATATGTCAGGAGAAAAACACTCTTCAACGTAAGCATAAATCACACAAAGAGATAGGAAAGAGATTCAGATGTGGGATGAATCAGAGAGATGAATTGACTGAGAACAAGCAAGCAAACCAAATCCACCAAGAAGCAGGGCCAGCTCATTCTGCTGGCTTTCAGAAGGCTAACATTTTTTTCTAAGGAACTGAAAAATATTTACAGACACTTGACAGTTCTGTAGGTAGCACAGTTGGAGTATGGACATTCGTGCTCTCTGGAATATCCTGTGATTGAGGTTTTGTCTATACTGCACAGCAGGAGAAACTAATCAGGGAAGTTGCTGGTTCGCCTGACCACACGGGTTAACGACAATCTCCACAGAGCCTCCCTGGAAACTGGAGCTGCAATAGTACAGGCTTTTCTGTGAAATTGCACTTTTAATAAAAGCAAAAGGGAAAGATGCTCTAGGGTCAGTTTCGTAGTTGTGTCGCAATGAAAATCTCTACCCAAAGTCTGTAATCATTCTTCATGGTTTACTTTTTATAAATGTTATATTTTAATATTAGTTTTATTTTATCAAAGTTATACATGAATTTCAAAATGTTAATGGGGCTTTCCCAAGTCTAATTTGATATCCCCAAATTAATAGCAATGGATGATAAAACCCGCTAATGGCAGATCATCTATGCAGCCCTGGTCAAAACCCAATATTGTGACCATTACACCATCATGTCCCTCCAGCCCAGCTACAAGGGGTTGCTCAGAGAATGAAAGGCCATGTTTGTAATAGAGCTGACGGTCTAAAGTGAATGTGCAGTGGGATAGTCTCCTTCTGGCTGTGAAAAAATATCCATATGAACTGCTTATGTAAAAGGCCATGTGGCTGGCAACTACAGGCAGCCTTGAGGAAATAAAGGGCCTTCAGCTGATAGCCAGAAAGAAGTCAGGCCCTAAAGAAATGAATTTTGCTAACAATCTGAAAGAGTTGTTGGCAACTGGATTCTTCCCCCGTCGAGCATCCAGATAAGAATGTAGCCCATCTGACACCTTGACTGAAGCCTTGTGAGACCCTGACTAGATGACCTAACCAAGTTGTGCCCGGATTCCTCCCATGGGAACTTTCAGGCAATAAATGTGTGTTGTTCTAAGGCACTAAGTTTGTAGAAATTTGTTATGCAGCAATATAGAATTAATATAATCATCTAGAACAATTTTCCCCCCTGAGTCTGTTTCCTCACCTATTAAAAACAATAGAATAAAATAAAAATAAAGTGAATGTGCTAGCCCTGGCCAGTGTTCTCAGTGGCTAGCGCATTGCCTATGCACTGAAGGGTCTCAGGTTTCATTCATGGTCAAGCAACCTGGGTTGCTGTTTGATCCTGGCCTCAGTTGGGGCATTTGCAGGAGGCAACGGATCAAGGTGTCTCTCTCACATCAATGTTTCTCTCTC